TCTTTTAATATGTATTAGAAAAATACATAATTAGCACACATCAAACCTGTGAGTTCACAGATATCACTACTTGGGATGAAAATGATATAGGATAACAATGTTAGACCTCAGATTACCTTAAGAAAAATACTGAGTAAATAGTACAGGAGGGCAATTTGGAAGTATCTATTAAAAACCAACATATAAATATCCTATGACTTTGCAATTCACTTCTAGGTATCAACCCTAGGTAAACTTTCACATACACACTTTCGCACAGGCCTAGGGATGCTCCTGTGTAGTATTTTGTAACAGCAAAAACCTGAAAAGTCTTAATGTCCATCACAAGAGAAATGTGTTAAGTAAAATGTGGTAGTCATATGATGGCAATCTATAAGCAATTACAGAGAATGGATTGATCTACATTAAGTAACATGCACAGATCTGAGAAACATTGTTAAGCAAAGAAAACAAATTGCTAAACAATATACCATTTGCATTAAACACACAACATTTCCAATGAGTTCATATATGTACGTACAAGTATTAAAACAAAGTCTAAATAGAAGTACAACAAACATAAAAGCCACTAAGAGGGGAAGGATCAGAAGTGGGAGTGGTTGGTAGCTGAATGAGACTAACTTTATCTATAACAATCTAATTTCTCAAAAGGAGAATGCATTCATGCATTATTTGAGTAATTAGAATAGACTTAATTTTTAAGAAGCAAAAAAAGCAATACACAGATTGGAATAAAAGCATGATGGTATATGTGAATGAGTGAAGGCTGAGCTAATCACACCAGGCTTTGCTGTCTCTGCATGATCCTTATAGTTAATGAGGTTAGTTCCTAAAGTGAACCTCACATGTGTTAGGCTGGGATGTGGCCCAGGCTACCTCTGCCCTATTTCCTCACAACCCAGATTGGGGCTCAGGTACCTGGTTACCATACATGATTGAAGCTACAGGCCTCCTCAGGCCCTCTACTTACCAGGTAGACCCCATCAGTGCCCTGAAACTTTCCCAGTCAGCAGGGCATTCAGCACCTTCCAGATTTGGAAGCTTCTTCTGTCCCTAATAGCTGGGATCAGAAGCTCTCAGGGGTCCAGGCATGAGGCTTATTTTCTGAGGGATCGGCACCTAAGTGGGCTCCATGAAGGGATAAGGCCTCCATTGAGGAGCTTGACATCGTTAAATCCTATGAGGTAGGTAATATTGTTAGCCCCATTTTACAGATGAGGAAACTGAGGCACAGAAGGTCAAATGACTTGCCCAAGGTCAAACAACTAGTAAGTGATAAAAAGTGGGACCAGAACCCATAACAGCCTGTCCCCAGAGCTCATGCTCTGCAACTAGTGCCTGACCAAATCCTACCAATTTGTCAAGGTGCAGCTTAAATGTGACCTCCAGGAAGCCTAGAGGTGATCACCCTCTTCTCAAATTCAAAGTACATAAGACATTCAATTAAGGATAGTCATTCATGAACCAACTGTATCTCCTTACTAGGAGGGTAGAGATCATGTCTGATTCAACTCTGTATTCCAAGCAAAGAGCTTGACAAATAGATGGTGTTCGGTATGTGTCTGATGAATACATACATGAATGAATACACAAATGAGTGAATGAAGGCAGTTTCAGGTAACTGCCTAAGACTCCTATGAGGTCCTGAGTACCTTTGCCCAGCTCAGGGATGCTGTCATCCTAAGCTCTCTTGGAATGAAATTCAGCCTAGGCTCCTTCTAAAACAGGTCTCCAATATCCTTTATTATTTTGCAAACATACATGCACACATGCGGATACATACATACACCATACGTACCCACACACACAGTGGGCAAGAGGCCCAAGGGACCCATGATGATGGGTGATGAGGGGGAGGAAGGGGGTGTGTGGGATGAACAGATGGCCCTGTTCAGCTCAGCACCTCCTTCCAGAGGCCAGAATACTCCCTGTCGCTCAGGAATTTTTGCTTTAGACCTAACATCACCTCTGTTCCTCTTCGTGCTTAATTAGCAGTGCCTAAATCCCATGACTACACCAAAAAGGGCCAGGAGGCAGGGGAAAGGTTGGGAGTCAAATATCCAGAGATTGGGAGAGGGACACCTTAGGGATCCAGACAGGGCAGGAGGGTAGAACTATTGCTACTGCTCATTGGGGTTGGGGTTGGCATCTGGGTACTTGGTGAGGTCGAAGGTCAGGACTTTGCTGATCACACAGTCCCCTTGCTGAAGGAGGAGGGAGAAAAAGAAACATAAAATTGTAAGGAGAGAATTAAGAGGGGTCTAGTGCCCCAGAACCAGGGGCCTCAAACCCTCTTCCCTACATACCTGCCCAAAGCCCAGGCAATGGTTCTTTCTGGGTGTGAGAGGATGTGCTCAGTCCCATGTGTCTTCTCTCCCTGCCTACCTCTGTACTCTCCTCCTTTCTCCACTGTCTGGCTGCCTCTGCCTACCTTTCCATCTGTCCCCAAACGCAATGGCCCTGCCTGGCTGGGCTGGCTAAGCCTCCAGAGGCAGAACTACAACAAGCCCAAATGGCCATTCAGGACCTGATTTCCTATGCTCCCCCACCCCCTTTCCCCTCCACTGCGGCCTTCCCTTCCTGCCCTGGGAAGTCAGGCAGGGAGTAGGGCTGGCTCCTGAGCCAGGCCCACCCTACCTCAGGATAGACTCCAATGAGGCTCTCGGCCTTGGTGTAGAACTCTTCCTTGAGGGAGATGACGATGGCCTGGAAGTTGCAAGTCGACTGCTCCTTGATGTAATTTGCCACCTGTGGGAAAGGCCTCCAGGCACTTAGCAAGGCTCAAGCCTTAACACTCCCCTGTAATTTCCAGCCACAACCAGAAGGCAGCAGAGGTAGGGTAGGGGGAGGAAGGTGAGGGAAAGAGAGGCTGAGAAAAGGAGACTACTGACTACCACAGCATGGATGACTCTGGGCCCAGCCTCTTGGGCACAGAGAGCAGGCAGCAGGAACAGCTAGGGCATACTCAGGAGTTGCTCCCTGAAACCCAGCCCCGACCTGGTGGCATCCCTCCCAGGCCCCACTTTCTTTGCACCCACCTTGCCAATGTTGGTGTTATCCAAGGCAGCATCAATCTCATCCAGGACGAAGAAGGGGGCTGGCTTGTAGCTGGGAGGGAACCAGTAGGTGAGCTGACACTGAGGTGGGGAGGGGGCGGCAAGGCAGGGTGGGACAGCCCCAGGGCCCATCAAACAGGCCAGCTTCCCACTCCACTTCTTCAGACTAAAAAACCCAGGTCTCAAAGTTGCCTGAGCCCCTAAAAGCCAATACATCAACAAACATCCTCCCCTCTGCATTAAGCCCTGTGTTCCAGGTTCCTACAGAACCACAAGAAGATATGGTCCCTTCAGGAGCTTCCAGGCTGGCTGGGGAGCTAAAGTTGTCCAATGACCGAGCTACCTAGAGGTCCACCCCATCCCAACATACACCATCACAGCATGCTCTGTCATGCCTGCTTGCCTCTGCACATGCTGTACACTCAGCCTAGAATGCCTGCTGGTCTCCCTGGCAAACTTCTATTCATCCTTTACATCTCCTGCTCAAGTGGCACCTGCCCTTAAAAGTATTCCCTGGCCTATCCACACCCTCCCCACAGACTGGGTTAAGTGTATCTCTTCCGTGTATCCATAGCACACACTCTCACCCGGTCACAACACTTAACACACTGTCTGTTTATGCATCTGGCTTCTACTAGACTGTGAGCTTCTCCAGGCCAGAGACCATGTCTGATACATCTGTGTCCCCAATCCCTCTGTAGGGTCTAGTACAGAGCAGCACTCAAGAAACTGATGCTGTACAATCTTGCACTAAGTTGCAGGAGTCAGACTCAAGTGCTACTGGCATTCAGGAGGGAAAGGTCAGGGTATGCCACAGTGGTCAAGGAGGGCTTCCTAAAGGAAGGGGAGAAGAATGAGGAAGGGTTAAAGGGTAAAAGTGATGATCAAGCTAGATTTGCATGGAAAGGGATTATTAGCCAGCAACCTTGTGAGCAAAAGCCTGGAGGTGGGACTGAATACATGCACGGGCCAGTGAGGACATGCTGAGTGGATGAGGGTAGATGGGGAAGACAGGTCCAGGAAAACCAAAGCAAGATACACTGCAGTAGACAGTGAAACAGGGATGCAATCCAGATTCCACCAAACCATCTTCACCTTCGCAGATCTCTGCATATCCTTGAGCCCCAGAGCCTCTGGTGGCCTCAGTTCGGTCTCTTCGTCAACTGCCCTAGGGGGTCAGCCTTACCTGTGGATGGCAAAGAGCAGGGCCAGAGCTGCCACTGTCTTCTCCCCGCCTGACAAGTTGTCCATAGGCCGGAAGCGTTTCCCAGGAGCCACACAATTGTAGTTGATGCCATCCAAGTAGGGCTCTTCAGGATTCTCAGGGCCCAGGAATGCCTAGGGGAAGGCAGATGGGTCAGGATCTGTATCTGAGTCTGGATGGAGATAGGGAGAGGAATCCTGGAGGGAAGAACAACTAAGGATGGTAGCAGCTGGTTGGGTAAGGGACTCCAGCCTACCTGGGCACTGCTGTTGCGGGACAGGGCCTTATAGATCTCATCTATGTTGGTAGCCACAGATTCAAAACAAGCATTGAAGCGGTCAAAGCGTTCCTTCTTGATCTGTTCAAATGCCTGCTTGGCCTTCTTTGCTCGCTTTCGGGCTGCTTCAAATTCTGCCAGAAAGACAGACAGGTGATCCCTCAGTGCCCTGGCAAGAATGACCTGCAAATGACAATCGAGAGCAGGACATCCCACCAAGAGAGGGGAATGCCTGAGGAGGGTCCCAGAAGGATCTGTATCCAGTGGACTGGCCATTGGATACAGTGCAGAGTAAGAACAGGGGCCTGGAGCCACATAAATATGCATTCCTCCCTGGGTTCTACCAGCTACCAGCTGTGTGACCTTGAACAGGTCATTTACCCTCTGGGAACTGCATTTTCCGTTCTATAAAAGCAGGTATAATAACTCTTACTGTTTAGAGCTCCTGGGAGTTTTAAATAAGAAAGCATGTTAAAACAGGAACTGCTGTGATGTACAGCAGGCCCGTGGCATACCTTTAGCCTCTTGTCCTCATCGTAGGCCAAGTAGAAGGGTAAACCTTACCATCTGAGGTCTCCTGGAACTTGTCTCGGACACTTTCCAGCTTTTCCATGGCCTTCATGTTGGGGGCGGCAATACGCTGAAGCACACTCTGCTGCTCATTCAGCTTCTGCTGCAGTGTGTTCATCTCTTGCTTGATCTCTTCCTCAGCCTGGGCATCCTGTAAGTCCCGGGCCCAGCAACATCAAGAAGGGCCTGGCCTCTGTGCCCAGGCCCCCACCAAGAGATGACTGACTGAGTGTGGCCTGGGCGCCTGCACATATACAGAGGGCAGGTTCTTCTTCTCCAGCTCGGTTCTTTCCACCAGATCCTGCCCATAGTAACCATTCCCACCATCTCTGGAAATTATAGGCTGAGGCTGCTTTCTCATATCTAGCCCTTCCCCCAGGCCCTGCCGACCTCTTTGTCTCTCAGGAGGAGCAGCTGGTGGTGTCCCTCTCTGGCTCTCAGCCCAGGCCGTGAGCCAGTAACATCTCAGGGTGACCTGGAGGCTCCCACACTGGCTGCTCTGGACTACACTTACAGCTCCATGATAAGTAAGGCAATTCACGTTTTCTGCTCAGATGACTACATCTGAGCAAATTCCATTTGAGTTTGGTTTTAGTTCTTATGGATATTACAATGCATGTCTGGGCTTGTGCCTTTCTGCCACTTTTGGTCAATAAATATTTACTGAATGCCTACCAAGTGCCAGGCTCTGGGGCCATCATGTCCTGTGAGCCCTGGTTTCTGTACTCACAGAGCTCAGGGGTCTAACAGAGGAATGCACATAAGTAAACAATCAGAATATTATAGGATGAATGTGAAAATAATGATAAGCAGGCAGTATTGAATCAGCACACAAGAAAGACACCTAACTCAGACTCAGGTGCTAGAAATGGCTTCCAGGAGAGAGAGAGAGAGAGAGAGAGAGAGAGAAAGAGAGTGTGTGTGTGTGTGTGTGTGATGGAGTCTCGCCCCGTCACCCAGGCTGGAGTGCAGTGGTGTGATCTCAGTTCATCGCAACCTTTGCCTCCTAGGTTCAAGCGATTCTCCTGTCTCAGCTCCCCAAGTAGCTGGGATTATGGGAGTGGGCCACCATGCCCGGCTAATTTTTTTATTTTTAGTAGAGACGGGGTTTCACCACATAAGTCAGGCTGGTCTCAAATTCCTGAGCTCAACTGATCCACCTGCTTTGGCCTCCCCAAGTGCTGGGATTACAGGCGTGAGCCACCGCACCTGGCCCAAGAATATGTTTAAGCTAAGGCCTACAGGATGAACAAGTGAGGACAGAGAAAAGGAACAGAATTCTTCTTTTGTTTTTTGAAGACAGAGTTTCACTCTATTATTCAGGCTGGAGTGCAATGGCATGATCTCTGGTCACTGCAAGCTCCACCTCCCAGGCTCAAGTGATCCTCCCACCTCAGCCTCTCAAGTAGCTGGGACTACAGACATGCACCACCATGCATGGCTAATTTTTGTACTTTTTGTAGAGACAGAGTTTCACCATATTGCCCAGGCTGGTCTCAAATTCCTGAGCTCAACTGATCCACCTGCTTCGGCCTCCCCAAGTGCTGGGATTACAGGCGTGAGCCACCATACCCGGCCAAGAATAGACTTCTATGCAGTGGGAGCATCACACACACACACACAAAAGCCAGGGGAGATTGCTCATGGTCCATTCACTGAACTGAAAAGAATTCAAGGGAAAGCAAGTCAGGAATGGTGGCTCATGCCTTTAATCCCAGCATTTTGGGAGGCTATCGGGAAGATGGCTTAAGAATAGGAATTTGATATCAGCCTGGGCAACATAGGGAGACCCTGTCACTACAAAAATAAAAAAATTAGCTGGGCGCGTTGGCTCACACCTGTAATCCCAGTACTTTGGGAGGCTGAGGCGAGCAGATCACCTGAGGTCGGGAGTTCAAGACCAGCCTGACCAACATGGAGAAACCCTGACTCTACTAAAAATACAAAAAATTAGCTAGGCGTGGCGATGCATGCCTGTAATCCCAGCTACTCGGGAGGCTAAGGCAGGAGAGAATCGCTTGAATCCGGGAGGCGGAGGTTGCGGTGGGCTGAGATGGAGCCATTGTACTCTAGCCTGGGCAACAAGGGTGAAACTTCATCTCAAAAATAAATAAATAAAAAAAATTAGCCAGGCATGGTGACACATGCCTGTGGTCCCAGCTACTTGGGAGGCTAAGGTGAGAGGACTGCTTGGGCCCAGGAGATTGAGGCTGCAGTGAACCATGATGGTGCCACTGCACTACCACCTGGATGACAGAGCGAGACCTTGTCCCCCAACAAAAGAAAAAAAGAGTAATCAACTTTATCACTTCTCGGCCATTTGGCTAAGATCAAGTGTAGTATCTGTTCTTATCAGTTTAATATCTGGTATGTCCAAAAAAATTTAATTAAAAAAAAAGTAATCAACTTTAATAAACTTTGAAAGCAAAAAAAAAAAAAGAAAAAATCAATATGGCAGTAGTAGCAATTGTGTGTGTGCATGTGTGTGCATTGATGCATGTGTACAAGTGTGTTGGGGGAAGGCACAGAAAGAGAAGATGTTAGATAGACAAGTAGAAGCCAGATTATAAAGGGCCTTATAAGGTTTAGATTTTATGATGAGAAAGGTGAAGTACCAGTGAATGATTTTAAGAATAACAAGGACATAAACATATGTACATTTTAGAAAGCACTTATGACAATCTCCATACACTACTTTGGAGTGGTCTCCAGGATAGGTTTTAAGTAAAATATGAAAGGTAAACAATAGTATGCTATCTTTTATTTAAGTGAAGGTAGAGGGAATACAAATATATTTGTATTTTAAACATGTAACAACAACAACAACAAAAATAATCCAAAAACTAATTAAAGGGTTATCTATTGAGAAAGAGAGGTAAAGGGGACAGGTATGGAAGTTAAGAATTCTCTTCATTTCCACAGAAAATTGAAGTAAGATAAAAAAGAAAAAAAAAAGAATTCTCTTCATGTACCTTGTTTTATACTTTTGGTTTTAGAAACACATTAAGATGTTATATATAACTATTAAAAGAAAATTAAATCAAAATGTGAAAACCACTGAGTAAAAAATTGTTGGGGAACAAGATAGTCACAAGATGCCAAAGCATCACTCTAAAGATTACTAATTAATGACAAAGGCAAAAGTGTACCTTTAGCGTTGAAAAATGTAGCAACTGACAACTTAACTGAGGGATCAAACTCAGTATCACTAATAGTAGGCACATCCTGACATCATGTACCTCCTGGAGGGATGACACATAAAGCTCACCAATGAAATGTTCTTGCCAAAAAATACTTAACGTGAATCCACTGACCCTCCAGACTAGATCAAATTTCCAATTTATAGGAGATACAAGGGTTGGAAGAACAGGTTAAATAATACTGTTAAAAAAAGAACATATCCATAATGTGGGACATTTTCCAAGAAAACTCTCATAGACTCTTCAAAAGATCAATGCCACAAATAAAAGGTAAAAGGATAGCTCCATATTAAAAGAAACTAAAGAGACAAAAGAAACTCATAAATTTTTATTGGATACTAGTTTCAAAAAGAAAAAAACTATAAAAGACACTTTTAGAACATCTAGGGAGATTCAAATATGGATTGAAGATTAAATATTATGAAATGCAATTATTCATTTTCTTTGGTATAATATGAAATTATGGTTAGATAGGACAATCCCTTATTCCTAGCATGCTGAAGTATTTAGGGTTGAAGCATCATGGCCACACTTCCTTCAAAGGGTTTGGCAAAAATAAAAAAACCTGCATGTAGTGGGGGGCAAGAGGGAAGAGAGAAAAGGAAACGTGGTAAAATGTTCACTGATGAATCTAAGGTGAAAGGCATATGAGTGTTCACTGTTTTAGTCTTTCAGCTTTTCCATGGGTTTGAAACATTTCGAAATTAAAGTTGGAAAAAGATATCAAAATGCTAAAAAGAACAATCCTTAAAAATGGAAAACAAACTAAAACAAAGAAACCTAACTATATATTAAGCTGGTTAAACACTCAGATAATTCTTTCAAATTACTTTAAAACATAGCGGCATGACTATACATGCCCAATGAGGCCTTCCTTGGCTTAATAATAAAAAGAACTTCAGAAAATCTTAAACTACTTAAAACTACATTCAATAATCAAATTGTTACTAATAATATCTTATTGTGATTTTCAAACTACTATATACAGAGTAGGATAAAGTAAATGTGTTATGTTAGTGTTGCTAGGAACTGAGACTTTCAGCAACAATAACTGGGAGACTCAAACATAAAATAAATGATGTTCAACTGAAAAATAAAATTTCAATTCAAAGTATCAATATGAACTCATGATGTATTTTTCCTTCAAAATAAAATAACCACATTTAATAGTCCAATCTACTGAAAAGTTCTAGAAGTACTAACAAACCCAACAATCATGAACACTCCAGTATCCAGATGGCAGTTGCTAAATAATAGCATTTCCCAGTAAAGGAAGTCAGACCTTCCTGGAGAAATAGCTGATTCCAGGTCTGGGTGGAAAATGTGGAAGATGAGCCTGGACATATTGGAAAGCGAGGAAGATATCAAAGACTACAAGGATTATGTTGAAATGATTCAGAAGTCAAACTGAATGAGTTATCATTGGTCAAAGATGGGACGACCTGAGCACCAAGAAGGATAATAACCCCAACAGACTGAAAGACACCAAATATATTTAAATTCATAATGATACAAGAACTCAGTGGACAAATCTTGAGAAAGCCAAGGAAGCAACTCCTTATTTTATAAACTGATAAAGTGGGAAAAAAAAATCAAGCCTTTCCTATACAAACTGTACTAACTGCATCTCAGAATAACCAAATAAATGAGAACAAGTATCTCTTTATAATATTCCAGCTGGTAAACAGAAATGATATAAGGTCACCATTTTGCAAGCCCTGACTAATTAATAGATCTACACAATAATAAGCATAGCTGCAAACCACACAAAAAGAGCCACTAATGGACATTACGTACCTCCTGATGGAAGTAACACCACCACCTGTGAAGGAGTCGTAAGCACAACAAACAAGCGAACCCCAAAATTTGTTTTTTTTTTTTAATTTTTTTTTCTTTGTTTTAAGATGGGGTTTCACCATGTTGTCCAGGCTGGTCTTGAACTCCTGACCTC